CCATTATTTCACCTTAAATCCTCCCTCCTTAAATGGAGAGACAGGTGTCCCTCACCTGTCTCTCCAGGTGTGGCAGGTGAAGGACAGGTCAAGTGCAAGTGGAGAACAGGTGAGACATGTGAAGGGCCGGTGACGGACAGGTCGAGAATCAATAGCTGACATCAGCAACATTTTTCTGCAACAGTTTATCAGCAGCTGAATATTTAAAGGAAATGATGTGACAGCATCAGGACGAGAAGAAAGTTTGTAAAGATTAAATGCTGCTGTACCTGTGAGGCTGTCAGGTGATGCAGTGACAGCTTTCACCTGTTGTTTGTGACACGTGCGCTAAGCTCACAGGGGAACGTGTGTCTGTGCTGCAGTTAGGACAGACATGGCCAATTGGGACGAAGGATGCACCGTCGACAACCTGCTGGCCGAGATCAGGAAGGGCTGCAGGCTGAGGAAGACAAGCCCACGGGCAGAGCCGGACGGTGGGGTCGAAGGTGAGAGCCCGGCAGGACTTCTGCAGACTTTCTTGTCACTACTGCTCGTTTGATCAAGTTCTCCTTTTCAGGTCACCCCGGGGTCACGCAGATGTCACCGGCCCAAGATAAGCCAGATTTTCCCGAGAAGCCTCGGGAGGAGGTCCGGACTCCCACACATCCACCTGCTGGAACCAGACCAGAACCGGAGCCAGCAGAGCCAGACAGAGCTGCCTCAGAGCTCCAGGCCCTCTGTGAACGCCCCGCAGCTGAGGTCCAGGGTCCGGAGTCTGAAGTGGACACCAGACCGGCGCAGCAGGAAGTCCAGCACACAGCTAGTCAGCAGGATGTGACCCAGGTCAACAGGAGCAAAGATCCTAACCCGGAAGATTCTGCTCCCCGGAACGCATCAAACACCTTAGACACCAGCCCAGCAGGTAGAGTGAGGCGCTGTGCTCTCTGCTTCAGGCTTTGAGCACGCTCAGTGCTGCTGTTTGTTTCTGAAACATGGAAATTTTAATGCTTCCTGTCCCACAGCCCACCCACACAGATCAAGTTGTGTTCAGTGTTTGCAGCAGAGTGACGGAGACTCGGCCGCAGATTACAGTTGAGTGCAGTCGAGATTGCCATACCATGGTGATGTAGCCGGGTCAGTCTGGCTGTTGTGATGTAGCTCTGAGTCTATGAGGTCACTTCCTGTTCCTGAACATTAGTGTTTCCTGTGACATGGTGAGCTGAGGCTCAGGCTGTAAGGTCTCATCAAGACGATGATAGAACATCCTTTAGTGTTGATGATGAAATAAGCTTTATATCTAGAAACCGACCAATCGTATCCTCTCTTTGATCTCCAGAAGGCCACACAGGAAGAAAGCGTTTGAAGAAAAGGAAAAAATGCATCCTTCAGTGAGGTGAGCTCACCTGCAGCTGTGCATAAATCCACGTCAGCGGCGATTCACTGCTGTCCTTCACTCGAACAAACGGAGGAAGACGGCGGTTTGAAGTCTGAAAAGACTGATGGTCAGTAACTTTCAGAAGGACTGGTTTGTTCGGCGCTGCCAGCGACTCCCAGGTTTACAGACTTGCTCTGGACTGCTGGGTGTGGATCTCAGTCATGTGATCACAGCTTTGAGAGAAAAATACTGCATAAAAGCTGCCGACCTGTCAGGTGCTTCAAAACTAGTAAAGCACACCGCTCTGCTCGTTCCAGCTCAGCGTTTTTATTGTTGGACTCTCCCGGAGTAGCTTTGCATGAATCAAGTTCAGAGTAAGCCTTCTGTGTCTGAAACGAGCTGTTTTAGCTCCTCTCCCTGAAATCTAGATTTCCTGTGACTGGCTCCACCCACCTGGTAAAAAGACGTTTTGAAGATGACCTGTAACATCTTCCTCCTCCTTCTTCTGGGAGCTCACGTTGGGGTTCTCTAAAGCGAATCATCATTTAAAGTCCTGAATCCCGCCTCCACACGCTCTGCGCTTTAGCCTGACGAGAAGATTTGAATCTGTTCCTGTGATTCTTCCATAGTAGATGGATCTTTAGCTGATAACGAGCTGTGCCTTACTCCTGAGTTGAACTGAAAGGACTTGAAGTCATGAAATGTTTTATTTTCTCGGTGCATGACGTGAGCTCCAGCGTGTCGGTTCATCCGTGACAGCCGCCCGTCGCTGTCTGTGTCCACTCAAGTAAAACTTACAGGAAACCGACTCACTGTGCAACCAACGTGTAATTAACAATGATGAGATATTAAAAAACCGACTCGACTGCGTTTGTGCCTCTGAGACCTGCTTTTATGTTGGATGCTTTGAGGTCAGGTGGGATCCTTTCAGATGTTATTGGCTGTCATTTCCACCTGATTCGGTCTCGGCTGGTTTCCAGCACAGAAACATTTGTCTGTAAAATCCTTTCAGTTTGTTGTAAATATGCTGAATTTTGTGAATGTAAGAGTCTGTTGGTAGCAGCAGGAGAAGAGTCCAGATGGTTTATGGAAATATTTTTCCAGCAGACTCCCCAGTGTTCTCAATTATCTCTGCAAGGTCGAGCGGGGAAAACAAGCTTTTATTGTTTGATGCAGGACCGCGAGCACGCTCAGGAGGAGGAGTTCCTCTGGGCTATTTATAGAAGCTGCCCTGATTTCACCACCTGCTATAAATAAACTCACCTACATGCTTTTCATTCAGAGCTGTGCGTCAGGCTGTTTACGAGAATGGAAAGGAGCCTGTAGTAGCGACGAGGTCAAAGGTGACGGCTCCTCTGAGGGATGAACCAGGAGATCGTTGCAGCTTTGGACAGATTTGCATGAATATCAGCTTTGATAAAGCACATGTCTCAGTCTAACAGGACTGTCTTTCCCAAAATGTACTCTGTGTTTTCTTCAGTCAGACCTGAAACAAGTGCCTGAGAACATCACTTCATCAGGACAGTGTTGATGAAGTGAGCAGACGGCAGGTTTACGAGTGGCTCATGCAGGCATCTGAGCCTCGCCGGACGACATCAATGGCAAAGACGGCGCTGTACCAAAAATCACCCAGTGACTGCTTTGGTTACGAGCCTATTTCCATGGTAACCTGTAGTTTTTCTGTTGGTCTGCAAATGCTCACTAACCACTCACACAGTGGTGGTAAAACTCGAAAAAGGTTCGCCTTCAAAGTAAAACATGTTTTACATGGCACAACATTTATTTTGAAGGTGAACCATTTCCATTTCCTGTTTGCATGGAGACGCTGGGGTTTGAATGCCCGAGACTCTCAGAGCTGAAGAAGCTTCTTCAATGAGACGTGAAATGTGGCGTGAAGCATGACTGAGAGCCTGCACAGACGTGAAGCAGATCAGCTGACTGCAGCACCTGCTGTACTCTTAATGCACACACACGCTCTGTGGTTATTATTGAAAAATGTGAAAATCCGCTGATCAAAGCTGTGAACCAGAGCGATCTTATGACTTCATGCTGTTTGGCATGTTCAGATGATACTTGTGTCGACTGCTGACAGACTCCATCATTCGCTGCTGAATGCAAACGAGGTTAAAATCGTTCGGTCGTCTCCAGCTCATTACGGTCTCATCATGCTGGGAGTAGGAAATAAATAAACTTCCTGTTTCTCTCAGACTCGCTCCTCTCTCTGCAGAGCTGCCCCCCCCCCCCCCCCTCCAATCATAAATCTGTGAGCCCTCCTCATCATGCACAAATGTCCTTTGATGGATGAACATTTGTCCACACAGAAAGAAGCTGTAATGGTGCCAGTTAAACTGGAATGAGCACACATCCTCCAATGAATACTGTAAATGCCATATGAATAATAAATTATCTGGCTGTGTGTGTGTGTGTGGTGTGTGTGTGTGTGTGTGTGTGTGTGTGTGTGTGTGTGTTCAGTTTAAATTAATTCCTATGTGAACGTTTCCCAGATTGCCTCTCTTCAGTCAGATCTCCCCGCTGGCAGCAGCGGCCGCTCGGCGCTTCGTTGCTCTCAGATGAGGCTTTGATCAGCAGGAAGCAGACGCTGATGCTTTTATACTCTTTACACTAAAATCATCGTCGTCACTTATCCCTGTAAACGAAGGCCCAGCCTTCCTCCAACACCTCAGGCTGCATATTTAGAAAAATAAGAGCATTTTAGGGAAATATGCAGCTCTGCTCTCAGGTGGAAAACATGTCGTGTGATTAATTATAAACCCCTCGAATAGCCATAACAGTGACGTCATCATTCGTCAGAGTGATGCGTTATTACAACATATTTACAGTCAACACACGTATGAAACATGTGCCTCAAATTTAGAGTAACGATTTTGGTTTCTTTGGTCGACGTTGTCTGAAGAGATCGTAATGAAAATGTAACAACTTTCACAATCAGACCAAGGACGCCCCGTATGCTCCGAGCCTGTCGGACAGTTTGTTACTGCGTTTATAGAATAATTATGAAGCTGAGCATATGACCACAGCGCTCACGTGAAAATTATAAGGACTCCCGCTCTCATCGTGTCCTCGTCACACACAGGTGAGCCAATCAAACATCACAATACACACTAATGTAAATCCTTTACAGCTGTTGTCCAGCGGTCCCATTTAACTTCAATATTTAATATAAAATGAACTCATAATATTCTCATTAAAAAGAATAAATGAATATTCCGGCACAGGTGAGCCTCCATATCAGAGAGTTGGCTTTCATGAGGGATTCGTTTGTTTTTCTGCAGAACATCTCCGCCTTTCACCCACATCTGTAAACCTCTGGACAGGAAAGAGGCGACCCTGTTTGTTAGTGTAACAGTGAATGAATGACAGTGCGGTCAGGGCCGATGTTTGAGTCGGGGTGTGTGTGTGTCTCTGTGAGAGCAACAAACCAACCAACCCTGCTGTAACGTTTCCTCAGACACACCTTCACGGCCAGGCTTCCTGCAGACAGCAGCCACCCGGCTTCAGTGGGATAGACACAGCACACATATTTTATCCAAGTCAGATTTTTGTAATATTCCATGAAATATATAAAAGGTTTTTAATTTTCCGTAATATGTATGGAAAAGCTCAAATTATTGTAAAAAAGAGCTGTTGCTCACAGAGCCTTTAAAGCATGAATCTGCTCATTAACAGCATTAAATATTTGTGCAGAAAGAAACCATCCGATCGTTCACTCGCAGCTTTTTCTTGTGCCAAACATTTAGACACACGCTCTCTGCAGGTGAATCATTTATTAATCACATTATCGGGGCTGCACACTCAGGCTATGATTAGCAGCAAATCAGTGCAGCTGCTATAAATAACCACAAAGTGCTCGAGTGTGTGGGCTTGTGTTACTCATGTTGTGAGGCCATAAATCTGTTAATGAAGTCACACTGTGAGGACCGAGTCCTCTGAATGTAAGTCGTTAAGTCGATGGAGACGTGTGAGCGAGAGAGTGTGAAAAGAGATGAAGAACACAAGGATGAGATGATAGAAGGATGAGTTATTAGAGAAGAGGAGGAGCATCACTCTGCAGTAGGGCTGCCACGATTAGTCGACTATCAAAATCGTCAACGACTAATTTAATAGTCGACGCGTCGTTTGAAGCTTTGTAAGATCCCAAAAGACGCAGGAATAAGTAGCAGGATTTAAGAGTGTAATAACGGACTGAAACAGAAGATGGCAGCACTGCATGTACAACGATGCCAGCTGCCGTTAAACCCCCGAAGAAGAAGAAGCAGTGTCCCAGAATTCATAGCGCAGCCCAGCTCAGTTTCCAACAATGGCGGCAGCTAGTTAGTTTTAATATTACTCTTATTATTCTTTCTGGGTCACAAAATAAACGTTTGACATATTTTCAGGCGAGAATGTAGCTGTGGAAACCTCAAATATCTGCTCAGTTTATCAGGACACCGCATATTTTCAAAAGCGCTCCGACGTTTTCAGAAACGTCTGTTACCCACTAGCTCGATAGCTAGCCGGGGGCTAGGTCACTAGAGCCGTGAGAACACCGGACTCCCGGCAAATCGTTTTCAAACCCACCGCCGCTACTCAGGTTAAACATGATATATGAGTCACTTAGATAACTTGAAAATGTTATTGTTTGGCTTTTTTTAGTATTTTATTTGTTCCTGAGTAAATCGGTTTGGCTGAGATTAAAGTTATAGTTTTTACACAGCTGAATAAACGTCAAGCAGACAGCTGATCATCAGAAGTGTGAGATGCTCAAGAATTTACTCCGGTGTCCTGTTATATTTTAGATAGCAAGGAGTTTATTAAACTTCACCGAAACAATCTGCAAATTTCATTTAAATTTAATAAACGATCATCTTGTCTTTATTTTTAGTTAGCACAGACCTGAAACACTTAAAGCTGTAAGCTAGTGATAGTTATATAAGAGCAGATGCTGCTGGTGCAATCCGGTTGTTCAGTCTGATGTCACTAGCCGTGTCTGGGCCTAAACTCCGCTGCAGGTCCATATATCAAACGATCACTATGGCATCACTGAGAGTTGAAAAACTGTCTAAAGTCTTTCATCTCTAATAAAATGATCAGCGTTCTGCTCTACCAGGTGTAACAATTGAGTTTAACATCCAGGCATCCATGAAAACGGAATTTATGACATTTAACGGAGTTAGAAGTTAGCAGGGAGTTAGCTCGCTAGCTTCTATCTAAATACAATATAGCATGTCCTGACTGCGGGGCTTTGGAAACAAATTCAAACGTACAGCTCTGTTATCACTTCCAACATAAATGAAGACAGAAAACTAAACAGCAGTGACGTTTGTAGGGTTACTGAAGTTGGGCTAGCTGGTATATAATGATGTGCTACGTGACCGCTAGCGACACAGCTATGTTAGCATAATATAAACAAGCTAACTTTTTTCCACTTGATAAAAGTTAATGTGAGTGTTCTCGGTGGTCAGGAACAAATGTAATCGCATGGCAGGATGCTGTAAAAGGACCAAACTTCAGCCAGGAGAACAACTGAGATAATCCATCCACAATACGAGGTTAGTCATTCATATACTGCTGCATGGGCTGGGCTGTAGTTACATCCTAAGGTTTTAAAAACTGAGCTTAAATAAATGATTAGCGGTAATAAAAGCCGAGGGAGGTCAACAGGGATCACTGACTGTTTTAGGAGCTTTTTGAGATCAAATAGAAGAAAATACAAAACATTAAACATGTTAACAACACAAAAGCCATATTAAACGCAGACTACTTTAGACCCGGAAGTAGGATTCGTCACGTCATCACTTAACGACCGGATAAGCTGTACATTTTACGTCCAATGGATGATGATCTGATTAGTCGACTATCAAAATAATTGT